GACCATGGGTGCTGGAAAGCACCCAAAACGTCGGGAATTAAAAAATTAAATTCAATGCGATAAAATCCGTAAAAGTAGTTTTAATTAATGTCTTTTTAAAAGTCATCCATAAAAAATGTTTTTTCTACAACTTTTGCCAAATGATCTTTTGTGATTTGGGCACATGTTTCAACGAATGGAATAGAATAGAATAATTTTTTATTCAATATAGATTAGAAGTAAAATTTTTTACGTTAGTAGTTGAAAGTCAATTTTTTACGTTACCACTTGTTTGAAAAAAAACATCTGTTTATGTGCTTTCCAAGCCACGGGAAGCATATAAAGCCAAAGAGGCAGAAAAAAGACCAAAGAGAGAGAATTTTGAACACGACAGCTTTCACAGACAGCTAACTAGTATATGGGGACTGTGGACTCGTAGCTCTGATACTAGGTATTCGTGTAATGTTTGGTTTCGATTTAATTTTGATATTATGGCAAATTAATGAACGTATGGTGGCTGCATAAGAGAGTCTATCGCGACATTTGGTTACGTGGGTGTCGTAAGGGTAGCTTAATTGGCCGGTAGGTGGCGATTTATCATCGTTTATACCAGACGTAAAATACCCAGGGCAGCGACGATCAGCAGCGTCTGATACTGCGGTCGTCAACCTTTCTGCCAAGCGTGACGACTTAAGCAAATCCTCACTACAACCTGTAGTGGCGGGGAAGAATACCCATTACCCCATATCTTCTATTTATTGGAAACTGAGGCAGAAGATGGGAAGCAGCATCTTTCTGATAACAGCAAAAAGTAATAAAAACTACGGTTGCCAACCCGCTCGCCAAGCGTGGCAACTTTTATACGTGGTAGAGCCATGCTGCAGTTATATTAGTAGTATAGTTGTAGCACGGATGGGTCCGCTCGACCGGGGAAGGACCACGCTCTCACAGAATACCAGCGTAAAATAGTAGCTTAATACTGCTGTGTTTCGTGTCGTGAGTGTAGAGAACCGGAGAACCTTTTTACTGGAAATGAGACATTCCATCTTAGTCCTCACGGGTGACAAAGTATCTGCATTTTGATTCGTAATCAATGCTAGATGTCTATGGGCCTCAACAACCACTTACCATCAGGTGGACTGTGTGCTCGTTTGTCACCCTATCCTATAAAAAAAACAAAAAAACTATGATATAATACCCCCATGAGCAACGACACAAATAAACGGCCGCAGTCCCCGGCGGCCCCACTATTTCTGGCTACTGCGGCGACCATGGTAACGGCGGGGTAGGGGGTGCTAAGAATCTCCGGCGGAGGTTCGGTTACCACCAAGGACTACTCGACTTGGCAACATTTTTATAACGCACACACCCTGAAGACTGACGAGAATATCCTGGTTTTAGAAGAAAAGATAGACAAGTTGCACTGGGATATTATGGAAATTTTCTGAGGTCCGAAGAGAGGGGGAGGACATGATAATCCTCGAATCCGGCAACATGTTCTTTCACCAGGGGGCGACCATCTGTCCCAAGGAGGTGTCGGATTTATCGTCTATAAGTTGCTCGTTAACAACGTTGTAAAGATTGGGAGTGTGACGGCGAGGGTTGCGTACCTTATACTCAGAATCACCAAACGGTATTCCTGGTAAAAATGCATTAGTCTCGAGATATCCTCATACATTCCGTATGAGGATATCTCTAGAGTCATGCATTCCCAAACACTCTATACGGTGTTAATGGGAGACTTCAACGCAAAACCGAAAACCGAAATCCGAAACAGGGCAACTAAACCTAAGAAGCCAACAGCAGGCCCACTTTATGGAGAAAGAGGAACCCTTTATGAAGAACTGTTTCTTCTAAAAGCGGCTCCACAGAAATTGGACCTGGTCGAGCCACGACGGTTCGACAAAAAATGAAATTGACTTCATTATGACCACGCGACGACAACAGTTCAATAATGTCTCAGTGATCGCGAGGGTAAAAACTGGTAACGATCACCGAATAGTTAGAGGTATACTGAACCTAGACGTGTAGTTAGAGGTCACGTCTAATGAAGTCAACGCTCCGTCCCTCTCGTGCTCTAATCGAAAGCTCCGAAAACTTTCAGCTCTAGTTACAAAACCGTTTTCAGTACGTAGAAGACTGCAACGAAGTGGACGATAATAGCACAGTATAATATAAACATATAGACTGTGATAATAGTGACAAGCTTGTGGAAACTCAATGCAGTCGGAGCTAAGTTCTGTAAGACCCGTCGCAAAAGAAAACAAAAACTCTCCTATCACACTCTTAATATCATGGTTGTTAAACGGGAGATGAAGCTGCAGTCTTCAGCATATTTCACAGCATACAAGCAACTTAACAGACAGATCTCCAAATGCATGCGGCGGGACTTACGCAATTTCAATACAGCTCGTATTGAAGAGTCCAGGGCTCCAAAGTCTTTGCCAGAGATCAGTCCGCTAAAAAGAGCCAACTGTCGAAGCTGAAGACCGAATGTGGCAGCATCATTTCCAGGACACTTGAGTTTATGAGTGAGATTGAGAGGTTCTATCTATACTGAACTAGACAGGATACGGTATTAACATCAATGGCGAGTACAACACTTATCTTTAATTTGCCGACGATATAGTTCTTACCGCAGAATGGCTGGAGGACCTAAGCACTTTGCTCGATGACCTTAATAGTGTCTTCCAACGGATAGGTCTCAAGATGGACACGAACAAAACAAGTCATGTGTAACGTCTATGTCACAACTTTGCTGGTAGTTGTTGGGAGCACTAAGCTCAAGTTGTTGAATACCTAGTACAAATAGTCCGACTAGGTAATTCTAACCGAGAGGTCAATCGACGGCTTCAACTCAGCTGGGCAGCGTTCGGGGATTACGATACATCTTCTCGTCAGGTATATCTCAAAACCTTATAACTAGATTGTACAACCAGTACGTGTTGTCCGTGATGACCTATGGATCTAAGACGTGGTTCTTTACTACTGGCCGTATGAGGAAGTTCAAAGTCGCTCAGCGAGCTATGGAGAGGGCTATGTTCGAGGCTCTCTGCGTGATAGACTTAAAAACTAGGATATCATAGTAATAATTTGATATAATAACAGACGTGGCACAACGGATTAGTAAGCTGAAGTGACAATGGGCCGACCATATATCTCAAAGAACCGACAATCGATGAGGAAGAAAGGTTCTCGAGTGACAGCCTCGAACTAACAGGCAAAGTGTAAGGTGTACAATAATTAATAGAATCAGGCGTTACTTTGCGGAAATCCAATATATTAAAGGGATAAAAGATTATATCCACTAATAAAGTAAAATGTCAATTCTGTCTCAATTGCGTGCACTATCCCCGTTATCACTTATTTCAGCACCATTACTCCCAAAATCACTGTACTATATTATATTTTACCATATTTTCTTTTTGTTACAGGAAAGACGCACCACCGTCGATAATACGACACGTGTTTAGCCTCTAATGAGGCATCCTCAGGTGAAGTAGACTGCGGTGGCTGACCGCTAAATGACTGTAGCCTAATAAAATAAAATAGATTATAAATTATGGCCAGCGATTATTGCTCACGAGTAGACTTATGTGGTTATGAAACTTAAATACTCGCATAAGCTTGTGTGCGTGCATTGAAAGACGCTATTATGAAGCTTCCATACTCGCATAGGTAAGCTAATATAATCATACATGGGTTGGTGTGTGTGTGTGTGTGTGTGTGTGTGCGTGCGCGCGCGAGTGTGTGTGGTGTGTGCGTGCGCGCGCGTGTGCGTGTGTGCGTGCGTGCGCGTGCGCGTGTGTGCGGCCGCGCGTGTGTGTGCGTGCGCTCGTGTGTGCGCGCGCGTGTGCGTGCGCGTGCGCGTGCGTGTGCGTGCGCGTGTGCGTGCGCTCGTGTGTGCGCGCGTGTGCGTGCGCGTGCGCGCGTGTGTGCGTGCGCGTGCGCGCTTGTGTGCGTGCGCGTACGCGCGGGTGTGCGTGCGCGTGCGCGCGTGTGTGCGTGCGCGTGCGCGCGTGTGTGCGTGCGGGCGCGTGTGTGTGCGTGCGCGCGTGTGTGCGTGCGCGCGTGTGTGCGTGCGCGCGTGTGCGCGCGTGTGTGTGCGTGTGAGTGCGTGTGTGTGCGTGCGCGTGTGTGCGCGTGCGCGTATTTGCGCGTGCGCGTGCGGTAAAATCTGGCCTATAGCTAAAGAGCAAAGAAATTAGGAGCGAATATTTAAGTATGTTTGAAGAATTCTATTTTTAGTTTACGTAGGTAAAACAATCGAGTAAGCGCATATTTGTTGTTCCTCCTTAGTTTTGATTAAAATAATAATTTGATTTTGAGAGTTTATTTGTGTTAGGTATTTCGGTATAAAAAAAATTTAATTTTGTGACTCACGTTATAAGTGTACATACTAATTTGTGTATACGTACCTACTTTGTACTATAGTGCAGCAAGTACATTTAAAACTAAAAAATTTCTCATTTATAATGAATTGGACTAAAAAAATAATTTGTGAATTATTTATAACGGTGTATTTATAAATCTGTAATATAAATTTGTGTAGTTACTGTATAGATAAAAATTGTCAGATAGGGATACACTATAGAATACTGTACGTACGTTCTCTAACCTCCATGGTACGTACGTAGCCGAGTATCGAGTTAGTATTCACTTTGTTAAAAATCGTCACGAAACCAGTATCGAAATAACTGCATATATCGTCAATATATAGTTTCAGAAAATATAGTGTTTCGAAATCCGATATCAAATATCAATAGTTTCGATATGATATTCAGAAATTACGATGTTACCTACTCCTAGCTTCTATACTCTCATTCCTAATTATATGTTTGTGTCTCATTCATACTGTCAAAGGTGCGAGAAGTTTCGTACTACAATTGCCAAAACGTGTGTTAATCGTGGCAATCACGCAAATTCTCTGGCAGCAACAACAGGAGAAGCAAGGAAGGGGTGGAAGAATAAGAAATTAAACTTTATTAAACATATATTTAAAAAGTTCTTATCTTTTTATTTCAGTCTGAACTTTCCCCACTTGAACTATAATCACAAACTAAAGATATTACACTATTTGTTTTAGTTGGTATGTTTCCTAGATTGTTATGCAACTTGTTATTTTTATTAATGTCATTATTTAATTCAATATCTTCCTTCCCATCTATATTATCTATGTTATTCAATTTTGAATCTGTGGTATTTTCTTTGGGGCTTAATTTATTTCTTTTTATTGTGATACCGAGTGCATTTCTTGAAAGTGAGGTGCTTTTGCTAAGAGACTCTTCTTTTTTGAGTCCACCAAAACTTGTTATAAGGCCACTAGAGCTTGGCAAAGCTGGACTGTTGAGGATCTTACTTCTCACAGCACTCTGACTCTCTTCTATGCTCCGTGAGGGTCTGAGGGCGAGAAGAGATGCTAGATTTTTGTCTTCTTCACTCTCCGGCAGCAGATTTATATCTAGAGAGGATTTCGCCAAGAGGAGACCATCATTAACTGCTGCCTCCTCTAGTTCTTTTCTTCTTTTCTGTAATGAAAATTTACCTTTACAGTTTCATAATTGTGTGTGTGCGTGTGCGTGTGCATGTGTGTGTGTGCGCATGCGCGTGCTTGTACGTGCGTGCACGCGCGTTTCAATATTTTATTCATTTAAAGTATAATGTTTAAGAAATATAAGGAATAAGTAAAAGTAATCTTTATCTTTTATTTTGAACTACTAATATTCTGTTAATAGCTTTTTGAAAAAAACTACATACCCTAAAGTTTCTCCGTAAAGAGCAATTAGCCTCATAATCATCTTTCCACACAGTTTCATTCCTGCCGACAAGCTTACCAAGTCTTGGCTTGTCCTGTTTGCTTGTACTCTCATCAGATGTTTTGTGTTCCAATCGGAACATAGCATCATCAAACAGCCGCTTCTGAGTTTCCTTAGTTTCAGGGACAATTTGCTCATTTTCTGTTGGATCCCATCTATTTTCTTGACGTCTTGCTCCAGAAACTATTACATAGTCTAAATTCTGAAAATGTAATAAAATACTTAAACGATTCATCAACATAATTATCATTACAGTCCATCTACCATCACCATCACAGCCTATCAAAGTCCACAGCTGAACATAGGCCTCCCCCATAGATTACTTCTTAGTGGGGATATTTCTCCTAATTGCCTCAGAATAATCAAAATAATAAAAATACTCAAAATATTTTTTTGAGTAGTTATTAGGAAAATCACTTGTTGTGTGAAAGGAAATCATACAAATGCAGTGCAAAATACGTTATGGTCTTGTAATTCCAAATCAATCATCATCATCTTATATTTATGAAGTAACTTATATTCAATAAACTTTTTAGCTACAAATATTTTCTTTTTACTAGACAACTGAATATTATGTTGTTTTTTTTATTGATGTTGGTTATCCAAAAGCCCTGAAAACTAAGACGTTACTATTACAGCATATTAAGTTCCACTGCTGAACATAGGCCTCCTCCATGAATTCCTCATAGGATATTGACAACAGTTGCCATGCTTGGCAAGTGGGTTGGCAACAGCAGTTTCTTATTTTAATTAGGAAGATGCTGCCGCCCATCTCCTGATTTGTTTTCACTCACTGGATGATATGGGGTAATAAATATTCTTGCACCGCCACTAAACGGTAAATACTGCCATTACATGGTTAACACCGCTATTACACGGTTAACAAATAATACCTTATATTATACAAAATTATAGAACTTGTAAAGTTTAAGTATATATATCACATATTGTACATGGATTTGACAATCTTGTACAGATGGTACCATTTTCACCTAATATGCCACTAAGCACTGTATGTAACTTGTGATAGCAACATAAAGGGAACTCATCACCTCATTTCATCCTGTGGGTGTTAAACAAGGTATCTATGATGAATGCCAGAATTTTTTTTAGCTTTTGATAGATGTTGTTAAAATGATCTTGTTTACTCCAAAAGTAATATACCCAAACTAGCGACAGGCACCAACATCAAAGGTGCAAAATGTTTGGTTTATTTTGCATTGGGTATACATAGCATTGGGTGACAAATGAGCACACAGTCCACCTGATGGTAAATGGATGCTATCGCCCATAAACATCTGCATGTATCCTTCAATTAAGAATCAAAATGCAAATGTGTTATCACCTGTGAGGACTTATATGGAAAGCCTCAATTACAGTGAAAAGGATTTCCGGTTCTCTACACTCACCATACAAAACACAGCAGCATTACACTGCTATTTGCTGATAATCTGAGAGTGTGGTTCTGCAGCATGGCTCTGCCCCATAAAACTGGGGTTGTCAACCCAATGCCAACCAAGCTTGACAATTAAAGCAAATCCTCCCTGCAGCAGGAGGCTTATATCTAGCAGTTGACTTTAATATGCTGATGAAGAAGGAAACACACTTTTTTTATAAAACTAAAGTGACAGTCAAACTTACAGTCCATCTGATGGTACGTGGATGCTGCAGTCTAGGGACACCTTCAAACAAAGGATACAGATGCATTGTCACTTCTGAGTACTAGGATGGAATGCCTCACAACCTGTAAATATACTGTCTCTCTATATGCTTCAGATCAGAAAACAGTGGTGCAAGCACTGCTATTTTGCAGCAGAGAAAGGTAAGCGTGTGGTACCTACTGAGACAGATTCTTAGGCAGTCTGCCGTCTCAGATCATCTTAGGCAGTGGAGTCCTACTACTTAGTAATAATTAACACTTAACTTAATATTTATGTACACTAACATATCTACTTCATAAATTTTATACAAAATTATCAAATGATTTTTTTTTTAGATTTAATGTATACCTAATGCAATACTCACGCCTGGATCAGTTTTAATTTCAAAATGATTGTCACATAAGTGGCATTTCATGCGGAACTGGTATATTGGTGTACTGTAGTACATCCCAACTTTTTTCTTTTCTGCATTGTATCTAACACCCATACCAATATGATTGTTACAGCCTTCACACCATATGTTATAGGGCATTTCAAATCTTATAATTAAGATGCCCATGTGTAGTTTTCTAGCCCTCTCTCGCAATGCATGAGTTCCCTGGAATTTATTTAATCCCCCAACTTTAGGATCATAGTCTGGGGGATAATAAAGATTTTGGCCTTTGCGTTCACCCATTTTGGTTTTCCACTGAGTATATTACACTGTCTAATAGATACAGATACCCTGAAAAACAAATAAATCATCAATCAACATATCCAACCAGTGTCTAGTTTATCATTAAATGTGTACCATATGTACACAATGCAGTAACATCATACTTAATATCACATGTTTATCCCCAGTGTCAGTTGCTGTAAAATCTGCAGCGCAGTTGATATTTTCTGATTAAAAAATCCTACCATGTTGAACAAAACTTGATCAGAGGGGCATCCAAGAGGAAAAATGCCTGCTGAACCTTAGAGTGAAGACTATTACTGCACTAGTGTAAGCATACATGAGAAATTTATTAAAATTTAGAATGTTACTAAATTTCCCATAAAGAAATGAAAAAAAAGAAATAAATATAATGATAATGATATCACATTAATCGTTAAATCCTTTAGGAAATATTCCTAATGATGGCTACATAAAATTAAAAACTGCATGGAACATTACCAAATATTTTTGTTATTATAATATATACTCACCAATATGGAAACAGAAATATTAAATTAAATAAATCTAATAAACAAATTCTTATCACATCTAAACGTCAAATTGACATTAAAGATTACTTTTTAAATATGATTAGAGTCAAAAGTATCTTTATACAATACAGCCTATTGGGGCACGTATTTTATTACAATAATAATAATTCACAAGCGCACTGCACAAAAATCAACATTTAAATATTAAACAACCTTAGAAAATCACTTCTCACTGTTATTTTCGAAGTAATGGATTTGACACGCTTTTGCAGCTTGTACCATTTTGATATAAAACCAGAAAGTCATTATAAACTGAACTGTCATCGGTCGGTCGAACGGTCGAGTCGACGTAAAAAATTCCAAAATCTCGACTCCTGCACCATAAGTGTGTAAGTGGTGACGGTAGGATAAGTAATATGCGAGAAAAACCGTATATCTTCCAATATATGGTGGAACTTGATTACACTAGACGGGCAGCAGCGTCAATGGCCTTATACTGCCTTTTTGGTCTAGTGGTTGGTGAACGCGACCGCTAGTCATGATCACTCGGATTTAAATCCTGCGTCAGGTCAAAAAAAATCTGTTAGTGAGTCCCCAGAGTCAGAAAATTGGCGGTGTTTCACCCCTGTGAATAAATTAATATTAAAACAACCATTTTTATACAAACTTAGTTTAATAAAGTTTTTGAACTTTGTGTACTTACCTCAAATTTGTATATTTTCTGGCATTTTGTTGTAAAAGCGTATATACATCGCCTCAAGAATGAATTAATGATTCTGTGGAGTCGAGTAACTGGTACCGAAATGGTGGGATATTGAAATTATGTAGTGGTTATTTTAGTAGTAGTAGCCGAGTTTTTGGCCTACACAAATTTACTTCGACAAAATGAAAAAAATAAACTTGTTTTATTCATGATTCATGTAATTTAAGGAGTTTTGAAAATAAAAATTAAATTAAACAAATCATACATTAAAGAAATTAATGGTTCGATTATTAGAATACTTTACCGATTATTTGAATATTTTTCCGATTATTCGCATAACAATGAATTTTAATCTTGGAGTATTAAACCAAAGGAGACGGCATCGCAAGCATACCCTTCTGTAAAAGGTACGAGAGTCCGACTCATACTCGTTATATGAAACTAGTTGCTCCGCGTCGTGCGTCATTACGAAGTGATCATGTCAGTAAATCGAGCTCCGACAAAATGCCGAATTGCAGTGTATTTACACGAAAAAAAAAACAATCAAAAACATCAAGTATACAAAAGGACAATGTGACTTTTCATCTGTGAGTATTTTTAACATAATATTAAAGTAATTTTATCATTAAAATTCGTACTTTGTGAATATTTTCGTCCAATACCAAGTGTGGCCATCATAGTTCATAAAGTGAAAAATAATCTATTTTAAATAAATATAATTTACCACACAAGTTAAATATATTAACGAAAATATATTTCCTTAATAACTAAATCAGTTTGTGATGAATAATAATCACTACATATAGATGTGTAGTGGATTTTGTTAAATGATTTATATATTCAGCACAATTACAACACGATACTGAATATTATATAAATTAATATAATCGATAACTAGTATTTATCAAAATATTATACAAAATAAAGGCCAAATAAGTCAAATCGAAACTTCCTACCTCACAGCAAAAGTGTGCAATTTTTATAAAAATAAACTGGTATCACTGCAACCGAAATTATTGCACTATAGTGATGGACGCCACAACTTTAGCTATCGATAAGTTAGTTAACCATGCGGGTTTGTCTGCCGAACCGGTTTGTAGTTTTTATTTAGCTTTTACAGTAAAGTATTACAAAAGTAAAAAATTTTCTTAAAAGTTTTTCTATTATTGGTTTGTTTTTACAGATTTCTAAAGGATCCTTTTAGGCGACAAACTTAGATTGTAGCTTGCAGAAACCATGAATCTTGGATACCCAAACGGACGAGCACAATTTGCTCCGAACATTTTGAAAAATCATATTTCACACCCCAAGCTTACAATAAAAGAAGCTTAGCTGACTCTGGAGTACCAACCATGAACTTGTGTGAGGTAATGTTTGACTGTAATTAGATTTAGATTAAATATTTTTATTATTACCTTTGTGACGCCAATATTGTTCTAGTTGAAAATATTTTATAAGTTAACAAAAGCATTAATCTATCAAATTTAATTCATATACTTATATATATATATATATATATATATATATATTCTTGAATCTTTTGACTTACGTAAGTAAATAAGTAAATTATTTATTTTAGGGTGATCGTGGTGATTGCACAACATCAGCAACATCGAAAAAAGAAAGCTGGATGTTCCGGAAAAATTCCATTAGTAGTCTCGAAAGTCACAATTCGAAAAAAATCTTTATATAGCCCAAACTAGTCCTACTCTCACTGCGAGTACGAGCCAACACTTAGGTCAAGGAAAATCAAACTGAAAAAATGCCTTGATATAAAAAACAATGGCATAAACAGGCTTCACAAGTTTGCAAGAAATACTTTGTCCTAACACTTAACTATTACTCACCAAAAGCCTATCGCTATGTACGTAAAACTTTTGGAACATGTTTGCCTGCACCACGGACATTGACTAAGTGATACACTACCATCGATCGCCGACCAGGGTTTACTCAAGAAGCGCTGACGGCATTAAAATTGAGAGCGGAGAGTAACCCTTATAAAATTTTATTGTACCTTGGTCATGGATGAAATGAAAATTAGGCAATTGACGGAATACCATGCTAGCAGCCAAAGGCATTATGTATATAACCAAAATGCCTTTTAGAACTGGCATAGTACTCCGTCAATTGTTTTATTTTCATTTCATCTATTACTAATATACAATACAATTTCTTGTCGGGGTTACTCTCTAGTCCAAGTTTTAAAACAGTTAACGTTATTTTTTGTGTAGCTAAGTCGTCGGCCATCAATTGTACATTAGTTTAGCAAAACATCTTTCTGGGGAATACTTAGCCCTAGGTAGATATCACATTTTATTTTTAAGCAGCTGTCTGTTTAAAGTTCACTTTGTTCAACTGTTATACATTGTAATACTTTTTTATTTTCCTAATTTATTAAATATTTTCCAGATAGTTCATTTAAAAACTCTTCAAAATCAACAACATTTTATAAATAGTGGTTTTGTGATTGAAGCCTTATAATAAAAACAAAAACTTGGTTAACACCATCTAAGATGATAAACTGATAGGATTTTTCTTTTCATAAATCTGATTTTTAAAATATGTTAACTAAACCTCCTATTTAGATTTTTTAAATATTTTAAATTTTATCCTGCATAATGTAAAATAAACCTGTAGTAAAATAATAAAGCTTCTTTCAATAATTTATAACTTTTTTTCCGAAGATCATTTTTAAATTCTTTAAAAAAGAATTTCAAATAACACCTTGGTATTATTTATCTATGTATTACTTATAATGAAATAAAAACTTGTTCGGACTATGGTGATTTGTTTATCGATAAAAAATATCGACATAGTCCACGCCTTACGTTGCTTACGCATTCAGCCAGCGCTATCAGTGTATCGACACGTATACGATTTGATGGTTTGCGTAAACGCGATGAACACAAACACAAATGTTGTAGTGTGCGTTTATAGTGACACGATTTAATTTTGCATTTGTAGTTAAGTATACAGTTGTGTGTTTATCTTGCGCCCCCCTGATGTTGACAGAATTTTTGTTTAGGAATTAACGCGCATGGCCTTTCCAGTTGGTTGAATACTCAAAGATTTTAATCATCCAAGCACTACGGTAATATACATAGCGACATATCATTGAAACGACGTCAAGTAAAAAAAGTTATATACTGGTCATAATACTGGTTATTTTATAATATTTTTACTAAAGTCAGTTGTACAAAATCACTTGTTCGTAACGCTCATTGACACCTGTACAATATTAATTAAAATATGTTAAGCACGCGTTGTTTTGAAAAATTAAAATTTAAATTAGTGATAAAAAAAATATACACGTTGTAATGAAACATATATAACTTCGTAATTCTTCGGATTTACGTAAAAGGTTATTTTAAATCGTGTGAGTACGCTTGTGAAAAATTATTGCGGAATGATTAATGTGAAACGTCAAAAGGTATTTCTTAGATTTGGTCGACTATAACAATCCGTATTGAGATGATTTATTTAGATGTTCTCATTTTATTTATACTAAAGTCAGTTGTACAAATTTTTTGATTTTATCACTTGTTCGTAACTTTGCTCATTGACACCTGTACAACGGTTTAATTAAAGTATATTAAGCACGCGATTTTTGCTCGAGTATGAGTATTACAAAATTATCGAGTGATTCATCTCTCTCGATTCGAGTCTATTAAAATGAATCGAGTCACATCACTAACAACAAACTACAGCTGTTTGACGAGTTTGCATATTTTCGAAAGAAAATCTGTATTTAATTACGGTATATTTTTTATTACAGTTGAAGATTA